CGCCATCTTTGCCGGGGTTCCGGCCGGAGGTGGGTTTCCGCAACTAAGGACCAATCGGAAAGCAGGATCTGAGTCCGTCGTTAGAGGACCGGCTCTCATTGGGCTTGAGGAAGTGCGTCACCTGTTTCTTAGCCAATCAGATCACTTCTCCAACTTAGTTTCTAGTGACCTGAAGCCTGGGTAGCTGAGAGGCAGAACCCCTGCGCCTACACATCTTCCTCGGGTCTGGCGCCTGGGAATGAAACCATGAAGCAGGAGATCTGGCCGCCTATGTTACTTCTCCCATCCGGACAAGCTTCTTGCCAGAAATCATAAAGGAACATTCTGCACAGAAGCTTCTAGCGCTTGGCTAACTTTACTGGCTTCATTTCTGTAGGTCACATCCTTCTTTTCTGTTTTAGTTCTCGGGCTTGGAACGTACTATTAAACACTGGAGGCCCAGTGGGTGCACCGGTGGGGTCCCTTGGACTGGCCTGCGCCCTCTCCCAATCCAGGACCCCTCGGGGGATGCCGGACTGCGGGTTTTGGCCAGATCCCCGGGCCAGGCTTAGGGACCCCACCGGTGCACCTGGGCCTCTAGTATGCATATAAGAACTTTGGTTAATCTCTCCCCACCCTCCCCCTCCCCCTTCTCTCTGAGATTCATCTGTCTGTTCCATGTTCCCATACTTGTGTGTTGAGTGTCTGCCCCCTGGTGGTCAGTGCATGTCATAGTTACTGGTCAAACGGTTGAACAGTCACTTAGGCTTTTATATGTAGACTAGAGACCCGATGAGTGAAATTCGTGCAAAGGGCTTGGCCCTCGCAGCCCCAGCTTCGTCCAGAAGGTCGTCTGGAAGGACAGCCAAAGGTTTGTCTGGTCTAATTAGCATATTGCACTTTTATTATAGATATTATTCTTGCATTATTTTTGATGATACATGCTTATTTTTTAATGATGCAAGCATCTCTCATGACCACTGCTAAATTTTGGAGAAAATACTTTCACATATCTCTATGCTAATTTGTTTTATAGATAATTTGTTTAATAATAGAATTTACAAAGAGAGGACTATGCTTTTACTTGCATTTAACTGAAAAAAGGAAATGAACTACAAAAGATTTGTGTTCAAATTTTGCTGTGTTAAAATGCACTATTATTTCAACATGAGTTGATCTCTACTAATCTGTGAGCACCTTGAAGTAAGAACTTTCGTTTTTTCAATCCCCAGTAACCAATCAATATTTGTGTACTAATTCTTGAGAGCATATTTATTTGTGAATATTACATTTGCATATATTTTAATATGAAATTGTTTTTATTAAAATATACACAAAATAAACTGTGTTATTTTCAGTTTAAAAGATTGAATCCAGAAGAAAAACATAGGAAAGGATGTCATTTTGATATAGTAAGCTGTCTGTCCAAAAATCTGCTTCTAACCTCTAGTTGCCAGCACCAACTGTGCTGATCACAACTCCGCACCAGTTTCCTGGACTCAGATAGCCAGGGTTGGCCACCTACAAGGGATGACCACTTTTCTTTGTGCTTCAGTATGACACAAAGCTCCAAAGCCTACATTTATCTCATTCCTTTTCTCAAGGATTAAAATTCTATGAGAAATTCCTTGCATTTCTGTCTCTTTAAATCAGGGGTCCTCAAACTTTTTAAACAGGGGGCCAGTTCACTGTCCCTCAGACCATTGGAGGGCCGGACTATAGTTTAAAAAAAACAACTATGAACAAATTCCTATGCACACTGCACATATCTTATTTTGAAGTAAAAAAACAAATGTTTTCGGCGGGCCGCATGTGGTCCGCGGGCCGTAGTTTGAGGACCCCTGCTTTAAATTCTGATTGAAATACAAATGTCTCTGGAATGGAAGTACAAACATCTCTAGACCAGAAGTACCTTTACTACCAACTATTGGATTTAGTAATGGCTATTTGTTTTAAAGATAGTAATATAAATAACTTAAAATGATCTTGAATCACAAATAAAAATTATAGAAGCTTCTGCCAGTTTTTCATGTAGTGCCAAGCCCTTCTCTATAAATACGAATTTATAGATGCTTTTATTTTTGTGTAAACAACATCCATACTATATCATTTATGATTTCTATTGTGGTTGGAACATATATTTACAAAGCGACCTGAATATAGAATCTTTCCCGGTTTTTATATTTCCCTTTCCTCCTTCCCTCATGTTTTACCAGTCTCAGATGCAGCTAATTCAACAGCACTGTTTTGGGACAACTCACACAGGTTGTTGTTGTTTTTAATCTTAATTTTCACCATTTTAAAACTTAACTTTCTCTCTTTTCATACTCATCCTTTATCATTTTAAGCAATTTTATTTAAATTACATAGCTATAATAGTAAATAAAATTGGTATGAACAGGTCTGGGAACAAATTGATAAGCACATCTGGGCGTTGGAAGCAGAGGTGTTTTGAGTTTGTTTTACACAATGCTGTACATCTAGCAGAGTAATAGTCTGAGTTAGTCTTCAGTTAAGTGGAGGAAACTTTTGAAAGATTATGTTTTAAATACTTATCTATTAACAGTAGAGATAAGACTTGCAAGATTTCAGGAAGTATGTCTTGTTAGTTTGGGGAAAGAGTGATCAATACTGTGAAGTGTAGTGGTTAAGAACATGAACTCTGGAGTCAGGTTATCTAGGTTATATTCCCAGAACCACCACTTTACTACATTCTGTGACTCATGAAGTTCCTTAGACTCTCCTCTTTACCCCACCCTCCTTATCTGTAATATGGAAATTATTATTACCTGTTCTCACAGGGTCACTATAAGATAAAAATTGAATAAAATGTACTTTAAGCATTATGGTTTTGTTCATATATTTATAAGAAGAGGATGTACATTATTACCCCTAAAAACTAATTAGTTTTCAGGATATAGCAATTTCATTTTTAAAATACCCACAATTGAAAGAGTATGTAAAGTTTGTTTGATTTCAGCACCCATTTAATACTTGGCTTCTATCTTGAAGAGTTATTATTGAGTGAATGATGAAGAATTCATCAACTACCAGAATGTCACTCTTTATTGTTTGAACTACTCCCTTTCTTTATGTTCTCATGAAAGATTTATTGAATGTTTACTGTATGTTAAATTTCAGGCTTAGAAATAAATGCATACAACTTGTGCCTATCTTT